TATATATATGTATGTATATCATCTACAAAAGAAACTATACGACATTCTGTACAATCAATGTTTCATCTGTAGGAGTCTTGATAATTGTAATTTAGTTTTGCAACATTAACATGAAATAAAGCCTAAAAGCCCATGCACCACCCAACCCAAAAATAAAATGGCAGATCTGTTTTTGGGTCAACGCATTGCAAAAGACAAGTTCGTAATCCGATACTTCATTAAGGTCACCTTAGGTACGTCGCACAGGCCAATTTGGTCATCATTAAACTTTTTATTGTATTGCAGATAAATAATAAATGGGCAAAAAGGGCATTATTGGAAAATAATGGGATTTTCAGACAAATAAAAGGCACCAAAATGTCGTCCATGACAAAAGTATATCGGTTACAACGGACCACTTGTTTTCTTTTTCATTTTTTGTATTACTTTTTCTTTAGTTGTTATTGTATGTATTATTCACTAAGGTATTAATTCCGATTTTAATTTCATTTTGGCTTAGCTTAATAGGAGGTTTATAATGCCAGGATTTCTTGCATTTCTTGCGACGATTTCTTGCGAGGTTTTCTTGCTTTTGCTTGTGCTTCTTGTCTTTACCCTCTACGCTTTATTCGTATTATTCTTGCTGGATATTTTGTGCTTGAGTTTATTTATACTACTAGTCAAGCATCTAGATTCTTGTCGGGGTAGACCCCGGCTCGACATCCGTACACTACGTCCTTTACATATATTCATTTATTATTTATTTATTTATTTATTCTTTATTATTCATTTCATTTCATAAGCACTTTACATAACTTTAACTTCACACTTTACATAACTTTAACTTCACACTTTACATAACTTTAACTTCACCCTTTAACTTCACGCTTTAACTTCACGCTTTAACTTCACGCTTTAACTTCACGCTTTAACTTCACGCTTTAACTTCANCTTTAACTTCACGCTTTAACTTCACGCTTTAACTTCACGCTTTAACTTCACGCTTTAACTTCACGCTTTAACTTCAGGATTTGCTTCGTTATTCTAGCTTCACCCTATAACTTCAGGATTTGCTTCGTTAGTCCAAATTCATATTCACCTTTGTAAGCTTTGCTGGCTTTGTTGGCTTTGTTCAAGGTTGTTGTGCTGGAATGGGTCCGGGCCGCGCACGCCCCGCTTGAATTGCACACCTCATAACAGAAGTATTGCTGAATATTATTATAAATACTACATACCCTAACCTTTTAGCAGTGCTGTCTGCAGTGCTAGATTGTGAGTCCTAGTGTCAGTATCGTCAGTGTGAGTACACTGTAAGTATCAGCGCCAGTACACTGTAAGTATTGTCAGTATGCTGTAAGTATTGTCAGTGATCGTGCCAGCTGTGACCTGTAATTGCACCAATGTAGGTGCGGCCACAAGAACAGGCCTTGCTAAACGAATGGACAGTGGAGAAGGTACCTGTAGGCAGTATAGTGAAGGTACGGAAGTGAAGGTACGATACTAGTGAAGGACGAGTAATCTATAAGTAAAGTATACAACGTATACAACCACCAATAAAAGTAAACTAAAGTAACTACTTAAAGTAATTAAAGTAACTACTTAAAGTAATTAAAGTAACTAATACAAGAGTGGCAACAGCTCAAAGTTAATAGTTAATAGTTAATATGCAAGACCCAATACGTAACGCGGGAGGTACGGGTGTGCTTCACGGGAGCATATAAGTACCGGCAAGCATCCACCAGAAACTCCCGAGTATAAGTATCATGTTACTGATCGATGGGTGTATTCTTGTCTCACTGGATAACTTGCATTGTTAAAATGCCCTTTTGGTATATTGTCTAATGACCAAGGGTCTATTGTAAACCATAGCCTTACTCAGCCATTTGATCCCAATTTAGCATTTTGTAGTACGACTGGCTATTTACTTACCAGTCGACTACATCCTCTCAAGCCTGGCCAACCAGGGTACTCTACACTCTAATTTCAGTCTACTCTTCTACCCTTCAGTCTAGTCTACTAATCCATTTGCTCAGTGACCTGGTCTATAAACCAAGTCACAAATAGCAAGGATTGCTTGCTCAGTTTCAACTTGATCAATTTCAGTTCGATGCCTCTTATATAATACAATAACTATCCATAATACCCTTAACTTTTCTTTATCTTTCCAAATTAAATCTTCTTTCTTAATCAAGTTGTTTAATTTTGGATAGTTTCTTTGTAATTATTCAATAATCTTTGTTCTTATTCTTTCTTGTTGCCTTTTTTTAGCTTTTCCAGCTTATTCTGGCTGCTTTTTTTTCTTTTTTCCTCTCAGTAATTTTTTTTTTTTTTTTTTTTTTTTTTGGTTTTGTTAGCCCTTTTGTTCTCTTGTTCTTTTGTCTCTCTTATGGTTTATGGCCTAGGGATCGGTGTATATATTAAATCAACTTCGCCTATTCACGTTTTCTTTTTATTATTCTATTGATCATATAACTGATTCATCTACTACTTGTCTTACTTATCCCAGGTGGTTTCTAGCTTCTTCTTCTTAAACTTTAGATCGTTGAGAAGTTTTCCGACAGCTTTTTTTTGACGATATTTTTTAACCGGTTTTCTCATCGTGTGCATCTTTTCCTAATATAAAGTCCCATCTTGGAAGATTGATTTTTTTATAAAAGACATTTAGATATCATTAAACCATGTTTGAAGACGCTCATAGCACGCCCCGTTTACTTCGGTTTAAAAAAATCCATTACTACTTGGTTCCAGCAATTTCACTAATAGTATGGTGGGGGATGTTAATTGCAATGCTTACTTGCTGGGGTGCTCAAGGTCGCCCAATTTATAAATTTATGGGTGGTGTTCATCAAGATCCAGTTTATATTAGTGATATTGGTGCTACTAATTTGCAACCTTTATTTATTGCTTGTGCTGGGTTCCAAGGGATTTTTTTCGTTGGGACACTTTTATTGGAATATATCTTACGGAGGAAGATTAAATTGCAACCTTATGTTTCCAATAAACAACCAATTTTTGCAATTGTTTCAATTGTTTGTGCAGTTATTGGCCAATTGGGGATTTTATTCACGGCTATCTTTAATACCAATAATTTCCATAACGTTCATTTTTCCATGGTTGGGATTTTCATTGCTGGCTCCTTTTTAGCTTGTCTTTTCAATGACTTTAATACTTTTATCTTCGGTAATTTCCCTTCAAGATTATGTCCAAACCATGAACGTGTCTTTTTCGGTCAACATAAATGGGCTAATTTATATATGGTTTCTTTCTTTATGAAGGTGGTTTGGTTATGTCTTGCTGTTGTCTTTGCAGTTTGTTTTGGTGCTCTTATGTATAACGATGAATTATCTCCTTCGGCTGCTTTTGAATGGGCTATTTCCTTTTGGTACGGCTTTGTTCTTGTCATGTGGGCCATTGATTTGTTTCCCTCTGCGGTTAAACACTATCAAATTAGACATCCTGAAATGTACCCTGCTTACGATAACCATACCGGTACTTATATGGGTGCTGCTCATGAAAAAAATGATCAAAACTCTTCCACTACAACCTCGGATCATGGCACCTATGTAAATGCCGAAAATAACCATTTAATCAATCATGATGATAACTTTAACCAAAACTATAGAGGTCCAGTCGAATCCGGTCCTTCCCAAGACGTTCCTACCTATAATTCCCATCGTTATAACCCAAACGCTCCTCACCATATAAAAGGCCCATCAAACGCTGAAGATACCTTGTATAATATGCAAAAAGAACCAGAACAACCGGCTTCCGCCTTGACTAGAGATTAATAATTGACTTTCTTTTCATTCTATTTCATTTTCTAACTTTGTATTTATATTTTGCCTTTATTTACTTGTGTGTGTATATTATAATCATAGCTATACCTTAGGTTCTACACTTAATTTCTTTTTTGCTTGTAAATTCCATCGATACATTAATTTGTAAGTTTATTAATTAGTAAAGTAACTCTAGGTCTTTTTGTCTTAGTAATGAGATTCTTTTGATAAAATTAACCTTTTTTTTTTTGGTCGTGCCGCGCCTCGCTTTTTTCACAATTTTGACATATCTATTTTATATATAGATACATAAACCAAATTAAAACTCTAGTTATTTGGAGTTGTTTGGGTAAAGTATAATGCATAACAGTTATACAAATGGCTTGCCCAATGCTAACCATCCTCTGAATATGGCAAATATTCCTCCAACGCTACCTCTGAATCAGTCTACTCCAGATAATCCTCCTCCACAAGCCGTATCTTCAATGAAAAATCAAAACCCAAACTATCTTCCTCAGTTGAATCGGTTCGGGATGCCTGGACCAACTCCTCCGGCCACCGGAGTGTTACCATTACAACCTCAGGACTACTATCAAGTGCCTTATCAGCAGCAGCAACACCCGCAACAGCAGCAGCAACAGCCGCAAGCACAGCAAATTCATCAAGTTACTCAAGCACATCAAGCACATCAAGCACATCAAGCACATCAAGCACATCAAGCACATCAAGCACATCAAGCACATCAAGCACATCAAGCACATCAAGGACACCAGGTACATTCTGTACAACAGCAGCAGCATCTACTGGAAGCTCCTCAAACAAACAAAGCTAGACTTAGAGTAAGCAAAGCATGCAAATCATGTCGAAATCAAAAGACAAAATGTAATGGTGAAAAACCATGCAATAGATGTTTGAAACATAATCGGGTTTGTGATTATAGCGAGAGCTATAATCAACCACCAAATAAGAAGGTTAAGATAAAAGAAGAATCGCCACTACACGAATCAGAATCGCTATCCCCAAACGAAAACAAAACAAGTGAAATCAAACATGATAGTAATTATATAAATCATTTAGAAAATCGAATACAATATCTAGAACATTTATTATCAAATAATTCTTCAAGTAAGTTCAAAAATATTGAAATTGAAGAACAAGAAGGATTGAATGAATTCCCTAAATTACCTTCATTAAAATGGAGATTTAGTAAAAGACATCAATTCATGTTACCAATGCAATTAAATAACTCAATTTATTCATCATTAAGTGAAGAATCCAAAAGACAAATAACATTACCTAGAATGCAATATTTTGGATGGAATATGTCAGGAGTTAACTATATAAAATCTGAAAGATTACCAGAATTACCAGAATTTCAATTACCGAAACCAAAAACATATTATATTGATTATTTTTTCAAAGAAATAAATCCATTATTTGCAATTTTACATGAACGAATAGTAAGAGAACAAATTGAAGTATATGATAAATTAAAAGTTAGAAATGAAAAGACGAATCAAACGAAGCTATTTACGGCAATGTTAAGTTTAATTTATGTATTATCGATAAGATTTATTGAATTTAATAATAGAAATGGTCCAAACATAGAAAGTCTAAAAATTGAAGAAATATTATTTAATTATAGTTATAAAATTATATCCGGTTTAAGTTTTGAGTGGGAGTCATTTGAATTAATTCAAAGCTGGTTATTAATAACGTTATATTTAAGAGTAAGTCATCGACAAATATCAAGTTATAAGGCTTTGAAAAGCGCAATATCAATGAGTGAATCAATGGGGTTGTTCATTGAAGATCGGAGAATCGTGAATGTTAGTCCTTATGAATTATTAAAAGCGAAACGAATTTTTTGGAGTGCTTATACATTCGATCGATTATTTGGATTACAAAATGGCCGATATAGTGGGTTTCATGATCATCAAATAACCAGGAAAACCCCCCATTTAGATGATATTGAGAAAGAATTAACCAGTGATGATTGGATAACTAAACCAGCGTTTTTAATGTTACAATTTGCCATAGTGGCTAATTTCTTACATACTTCAAAACACGATAGTTTGGATTTCATCAAAATGCAACAAGTTAATACAAAATTATATAAATTGAAAGATTGGCTAAATGATTATGGATTTAGTGATGATGATATATTTAAAGATGGTGATGATGAAATATCTCCAGTTATTAAAACCCAAGTTAAACTACATTTTTATGACGTGATTATTTCATTTCACGGTCCCATATTATTCAATTACGTTGGTCGAAGATTTTATAATCCAGGCTTAAAATTAGAAATGATTCTTGAGTCGTGTCAAGGTATAATCCATTTGATGGATCAATTAAATAAACATGAATGTTTTTTCATTCCTTGGTATCAAAACATGCTATTAATTTTTAATGTTGGGATTAATTCAATCACAATGATAAATGGAGGTGTTTTAATCAAAGAATCGAAAAAATTGGTTACTAGTTCAATTAATCTATTAACCATATTGAATCAACTGGCTGTAATTGATAATCAAGGTAAAATAATTAAGAATGAAAGATTTAATATGGCAAAAGAATGCCTATGGGCATTGAAAACTACTAACCATATATTATCTTTGAAATTTAAAGAAATTTTCGAAGATATCAATGAAATTGGTATCGACCACGGTTCTTCTGATGTCAATAAAGTTACCTTTACCCAAATCGGTTACTCGAATGATTCTGAAAAACAAGATAAAATGTTTGATTTTATCGAAAAACAAAGAAAATCAATTCAATTATCGAACGATAACCCTATTACTAGTGATCCAATGGTGGATCCCGAACCAAATGGTAACCCACCAGATCCTCAATCATTTGAACCTAACGAATCGAAAGTTAGCAAAGATGTGCCGACAGATGATTTCCTAGGAAACTTACAATGGTTTGACCAATGGCTTGATTTTAACAAAATCATATAAGTCCACTCCACAACTGCAAAAAAACCTATGCAAGCAAAACCGCTAAACGGTAATGCGGGGGCCAATGACGATAATTTTTCCGGCGAAGACCCAAACACCGGCAGACGCTCGTTCTTCCGCCCCTCTCGGCGCAGGTAACGTGACCCTCGCAACCCCAAACCTACCCGTTGGCATCCTATGGGGTCATGGGGTACACCCGGGGAACTGGCCAGTCACCTCTCTGCAAATGGAATGTTTCGGCAATCGTTGCAAAAAAATAAAAACATAATAAAATTAGAAAGAAAAAGAACACTATTTGAATCTCGGTGGATTTCCCGGCCAACCTTTCTTTTCATATAGGATTGTTTAATATAAGCTTGGATAATACAATTGTAGTTTCAAAGGGTGCCCAAGTAACTTGATGCGATAACAGCTGGTATGCCAACAAATGGCCTAACTAACTTGTGAACAATACCCATGTAGCCAAGGGTATTCTGGGGTTAACGAATACCTGGGTGCCCCGGGATGTTACCCTGGGGCTCGCGGGTGATATCTTATGGTAACTTCAATTGTTGAGTTAATTATCGAGTAATCGGCATTGTACCACCGTTCTAATCAAATTTCTATTCAATACAGATAAGCATGGTTTACCGGCATTTGTAAAGACTCCTATTCCCAAAAAGATTTTTGTTTTTTTTTTGCATTTTTGTTTTTTTTTGTTTTCGGTAACTTTACAGGAAATGAAATTCAAAAAAATAAGAACACTAGAAGTTCGAAATGGAAAAAATATAAAAAATAAGTTCGAAAAAACAAAAAGTAATAGATAAAAAATAAAAGATAAAAAAAGAAACGCAGAAAACAAAAGAATCTGGTGGAGGGCGTGTGCAGCTCACCCCACGAAGTCAAGTTTCTCCGAGCCACCAACGTACCCTAGTTAGAGAAGGATATGTAAAAAGGACCACCTTTGGCTGTTTTGGCTACCCGGTCAGTCACACGCGGGCGCTTGGATTTCCCCGGTATCGAGTTACTATATTTACCTGAAGCCAGCGATGCCGAGGAGGGGAGTGTCATGTTTTATCCGGAGGTTGGTTGACGAGAAACAAAACTGGAGTATCGATCGTACCCCAGGTGAAAGCCGGAAAAACTCTCTGCGGTGTAATTATTCTTTTTCTTTTGTGTTATTTTTGCTCTGGCTTTTGCATGTTTTCATACTATTTTTTACAGATTATTTTCGTAAGTTGCATACTTATTTCATCAGTTGAGTTAGTGTTTGCGCCAGCAACTGGCTGCTCGTTTCTTTTCGTTGAGGGGGGTCGTGTGCGGAGTCACCCCACGGTACTATTGGTCCGCTGGCCGGAAAAACTCTGGCATGAAGTACTGCATACACTATTATTATGCTCGGGAATTTTCAATTTTTTTTTTATTTTTTTTTTTTTTTTTTTTTTTTTTTTTTTTTTTTTTTTTCAATTTGGGTGACTGTAGCGATATGCAGGACGCATGCTAACAAAGTAAAAAAAGGATTAACTTTTTTCATTGCACAACGAAAAAGTGCTAAATTTCTTTTATTTCCAAAAATTGTTAAAATAAAAGTAATTGAATTCCCTCAAAAAATACGCTTAGATTGTATTACTAACATTTTCAATCTTTTTTGCTATTCCTTTTTATAGAAAAAGAACATTAATAGAATATACTTCAAGATGCCTCCTAGAGAAAGAAAGAATAAGGAAGACCGTCCTTATAAATGTACCATGTGTGATAAAGCATTTCATCGTTTGGAACATCAAACAAGACATATAAGAACCCATACTGGGGAAAAGCCCCATCCATGTACATTTCCAGGATGTAGTAAAAGATTTAGTAGAAGTGATGAATTGACGAGACATTTAAGAATACATAATAATCCAACTTCAAGAAAGAGAAAGAATAAAAATATAAATCAATTTGAAGAAAGTAATAATCAACAACCACATCCTCAAGCTAATCAAATTTATACTTCATTACCAGCTGCCACCACCGCTATACCAGTTACCATTGATAGTAATGGTAATCATATATACCATCAAGCATATCCAGTTTATTTTATTCAACAATCAGATAATTCGAATCAACCCAGTCAAACAATAGCAGCACCAACACCAACCCCGGTACAATCATCAACCTCAGCACCGGTACCAATGCAAGCCACGGTGGGACCACAAGCAATTCCACAACCAATCCCCCAACAAGCTGGCCATGCAATATTCTCAATGCCATCATCCCCAACCAATTATAGTAGCTATCAATTTAATAAACCTAATCCACCAACCAGAACCGTTTCAAGTGAAGACAATATTAAATTACCAAGTATAATGAAGAGTGAAAGTAATTCATCAATAGCTACATCCAATCATCTTTTCAGTCATAATGGAACCATCTCAACTGCCAATCTGGCCAGTGGTTCCTTAAGCACTAGTCCAGAAAACCATCATGATATTAACTCCATGAATAGTTTTAATAATTTAAATGAGTATTTCCATCATCATCAACAACAAAATTATAATAAAAATAAGATGTTTAATGCAAATCTGTCACTGTCATTGGTTTCATTGAAAAATCTGACTAGTTCAAATAATTTAACTAGTTTAAATAGTTTTTCATCATTACACAGAATGACTCCAATCAAACCCACCAATCAAAGACCAAACGTGCAATCTTATCCAAACACTCCAGGAAATACTACTTCATCAAATGGATACTTTAGTATACCAAAACAAAAATCATCAACCTCGCTTAACTTGGAATTTTACCAACCACAACAGAAAAAATCAAGACCAAATAGTCCTCTGCAAATTTATACCATCATGAATAATAATTCTAATTCAAACAATTCAATTATTAATAATGTGAATACCAATAAAAAGCCAGGTTTTATAATATCGCCAAATGAAACCCCATTACAAACCCCAAGTCAATCTCCTCATTTACAGCCTTCTAATGGATCAAATATTCAACCAATCACTTTAATTCCGGAAAAATCAATTGATAAAAATGTCGATCATGAAAATATTGTTATTGATGATAAAAGAGATGAATCAAGTATTGCTTTTAGTGGGACTCAATTACCTCCGATTAGAAGTGTTTTCAGTTTTAATTCTTTAAGAAATATAACTACCGAGTAATCTAGTACGATAATGAATACATTCACGATATGCCTACTATGTAGATACACGGATACTCAACTAATGAGTACCTACGAGAAAAAAGCGACAATGATAAAACCACTGATACTATATCTATATCAGCCTGACACTACGTAGTAAGTTAAGAAGTTAAGAAGTTGAGAAGGTAAGAAGTTAACAAGTTAAGAAGTTAACAAGTTAACAAGTTAACAAGTTAAGAAGTTAACAAGTTAAGAAGTTAATAGAGTAAGAAGTTAATAGAGTAAGAAGTTAATAGAGTAAGAAGTTAATAGAGTAAGAAGTTAATAGAGTAAGAAGTTAATAGAGTAAGAAGTTAATAGAGTAAGAAGTTAATAGAGTAAGAAGTTAATAGAGTAAGAAGTTAATAGAGTAAGAAGTTAATAGAGTAAGAAGTTAATAGAGTAAGAAGTTAATAGAGTAAGAAGTTTAGAAGTTATTGTAAAATGTGGTGTACGGATGTGGTGTACAGGCCTAATTCTGAATCTCTCCCCTCACCGCATTCAGATTTACCCCACCAGATTGAAACCCTCGCACCCGTGCACCACGGCCACCACCCCCCGACAGGGGTGCCCCGCCGGGCCCAGGCCTTCCTGCCCACCCTCCAACCCTACGCACCAACCCCTGTCCATCAACCCACTCATCGGCTCCCCATCACCACGTCCTTAGCCTCTTGCTCCTGATCTTCGTGACTCACGCCCCGGCGCACGACCAAAGAGGCACAAGGTTCTGTTGGTGGGCGCACGCCGCCTTTCCGGTGAAACCCGCCTTTTATTTACCATTTAACGACGCTTTCTTTTTTTCTTAAGCGAGCAAAACATCAGAAAACCAAAGAAACAACGCACTACTCAGCAAAAAATCAATGAGAAAACAAAAAAAAATTTTCTTCTTTTAATTAAAGCTTTCACTTCTTCTTAACCAAACCTTTAAACCCTCCCTTTCCCTTTTATATTTATAAATATTTTATAAAACCAATCTCATATACTTAGTTTTTTATTGGACTCTGATAAAAAGTTAGTATATTGACTTTTATAAAATACTTTATATCTCTGTTTGTTAAAGATAACTTTAAGTAGTGGGTTGTATTAATTTATAATCTACATTAAAAGTTTTTATATCTTACAAATACTTTTATAAGAAGATTAACCTTCTTATATTTTGGTTACTTACTCTTTCTAACTGATTTTTGTTGAGTTTGTTCCAAAAAATTCTTTTTTTCTATCCTTTTTTTTTTTTTATTCTATTCTGTTTAACTATTTCCCGATTATTCCTTGTTTCTCTGAAGTATTAAGTTATTTTTCAGTTAGTTCAAGTTATCATATATGGGATCAGACCTTTAACTTAATTCCTTATTAAAATATATCAACAAGAAAGGAAATCCATTTTTTTTTTTCCATTCAAAACTTTTAGAAAAGAAGAAACTTGACGAGCTTTTAACTAAGTTATCGTTTTCAATATTTATCCTTGATAGACTTATAAAGTATCATCCACGATGTATCAAACTAACTACTATCATCAAAACTTGGGCACCGCTGGTCATCGCGCCACTAGTTCCTATAATTATTTACCCCAATATACTCCTAATAACTATTATCAACCTAATCATCATCATTCCAATTCAATGTACTCTTATATGAGTGCTGCTCCTCCAGCTCAACCTTACCAAGCTAGTTACTTACAACCAGCTCCGGTCCAACCAGTTCAACCTCAGTATATTCCTCCTCCTTCGCAATACGTTGCTCCTCCCCCTCCTCCTCCGGCCGCTGTTCCGGCTCCTGCCCCAGCACCTGCTCAACAAGAAGAGGTTAACGGAGGAATCAACCCGGTGTTGGAATACGACTTGAACTCCATGTCAACTTTTTTGAGCTGGTGTTCTTTTGGAATGTTGAAACAAAATAAAAATCCAACTAAGGAATTTGAAAACTTGATTGTTAGTGTGCTTTTCGCAACTAGATTACCTAAATCAACCATCATCATTGCTTTGGAATATATGAATCAAAGATTTAGCTCTAAACAATTTGGTGATTTATCAGAATCAGATATCTTTACCAAATTAACCATTGCCTTGATTTTGGCTAATAAATTTAATGATGATAATACTTTCACTAACCGTTCTTGGTGTGGTGCCACCGGTTTGAAAATTGAATTGTTGAATCATGAAGAACGTGTTTGGTTAACTGAATGTAAATGGCAATTAAATGTTGTTAATTTCGAATCAAATATTAAAACTTTAGAAGAATGTTGGTTGGCTTGGTTGGACAAGTACGGTGTCTCATCTACTACTACCCAACCAGAATTGATCAATACTGCAAAATCAAACAACTATTATTCTTCTCCAATCAGTTCTTCTCCTTCTTTATCAAATCATCAATCTTATCCTTATTCTGGAGATTACTTACACTCAATTCCCTCTTCTCCAGTGTACTCAAATAATTACTCCAATTCAAATAATTATTCCTCCCCATTATCTTCTTCTCCACTGAAATACGCTCACGATTCTATCTGGACTAATTACAGCTCTAATCAACAGCGTTATCAACCCCATCCTAATCAACAAAATATTTGGTCATACACTCCTTCAAACTATAACCCTTATGGTTGTAATGAAATGATTTATAACTCAAACTTTGTTGGTTACTCAAATCCTTACTACAGTTACAACATTCCAACCTGTTAATCTATCCAAATACTAGATCAACAGAGGTGTTTTATATTGTGGTTATATTTATATTTTTTTTCCCTTTTTTTTTTTTTGAATCTTTTCTTCATTCGTTCGTGATTTGTTTGTCTTTTTCTCTCTTCATCAATGGGCTCTTAGTTGTTTTGTTTAGATTTGCCCATTCTCTAATCTCTCTTACAAAAACTATAAAATTGTTTTAAAAAAAAAAAAAAATCGTCATTCAACAAAAAGAAAAATCATAAAAAAAAAATGTTTAGTTACATAATATTTCAAACAAAAAAAAAAATTTATATATAAACCTATATCTATATATAAATATATGTCAAATATATGTTGCTGTATTGCAAATTTTTATAATACATTAGTAGTACACTCAATTTTCTTTGAATTCATCATTTTCATCGTCGTCCTCTTCTTCTTCTTGAATATCACCTCTTTCCTTTTCCAAATCCTCAGCAGCCTTCTTGAAGTCGATTTGCTTACCCCTGGTTCTTCTGCCCCCGGTGATGATATTGGATTGGTCAATTTCTAATAACTCATCTTCTTCACCATCTTCTAATCCTAAATCGTCTTCATTCTCATCGTCCTCTTCTTCGTCATCTTCGTCGGCCTTTTCTTCCTTTTCCTTAGGCAAGTCGTCATCATATTGGCGTCTTCTTTGTTTCTTTTTCTTCTTTTGTTCTCCTTCTGATGGTCTCTTCTTATTTTCTTTAACTTCTTTTTCTTCTTCTTTTTCTACTTTTTCTTTTTCTTCGACTTCTTTTTCTTCGACTTCTTTTTCTTCTTTTTCTTCGACCTTAACAGGCCTTTGCTCGTTTACTTTGGTTTCACTGGACATTTTCAATTGTTTAATACCTCTGGGAACTTGTTGTTGGTGGAATTTTTCAATTCCAGTTCCAGTTTTGCTCACCTGTTTGGTTTTGGGCGTGTTTGCACGACCACCGGTTTCTGCTAACAAAAAAAAGTATCAAAGTCTTCACTTCATTATCAATTACTTCTTTACCAATTACTTCCTTTCTAATCCAACATAATGGTATGTATTTTGAAATCATTTCTAGGGACAACACTTACTAACTCACTCTAGTCGAGCTTCACAGTTAACAAAAAGACCAGGATGTCTGACTTGATAAATTACCGTTTAAAAATACTCACGATAGATGGCCGAAATTTCATTGGTAAACTATTAGCGTTCGATAAGCACTTGAACTTGGTTTTATCCGATACTGAAGAATTGAGAATAACAAAGAAATCGTATCAAGAATTGAAGAGTAAAAATAGTATAAATCCAGTGGAAGATAAAAGATTATTAGGATTAATTATTTTAAGAGGAGATCAAATAGTTAGTTTAAGTATCGAAAGTGGACCAACTACTGATATTAAGAAACGATTAGGATTAACAAAGGGTAAAGGAATATCTAGACCTTTGAAAGTTCCAGTTAGTCAAACATCTAAAATTGGATCTAATTTACAAGGTCCAGTCAAACATTAATCTTGTATACTAGTGCATATTTTCTTCAGTTCATCTTTTAATACACTTATTTCATTAATATGATCGTAGAATGAATATATTAGAGCAATTAGGGGAAAGATAAAAACAAGATACTAATAAACAACGTTAAAATACTAATAAACAAAATATAGAAGATAATATTATTATAAAGAGAGGGAAAGACTAGTAATTCACATAATACGGAACAAATAATTTATATTGCAAAGAAAAGAAAGAAATCATCAGATAAAACAAATAAAGTGAAATATATTAAAGACAATCAGTCTTTTGTTTCATTAACAATTTTTTTGTATTTTCTGATTTTTATATGAGTTTTTATAATTTTTTTTTTGAATCATTTTTCAATTTTTTTTGTTTTTTTTTTAATATATAAAATATACTTTAACAACAGTTTGAGTTATTCTTACTCTTCTTTTCTTGAGGAGCAGGGGTTAAAGAGATGGTTGGGCCACCAGAAGGTTTATTCCCACCAACATTATCATTGGTATCCAATTGATGTTTACTAATCATTTCATAAATATTTTTCAATAATTGGTGGAAAGATAAATCAACATTATCTGAGGATAAAGCGGAGGCTTCGGTGAATAATAAACTATTTTCATTGGCAAAATTTTTAGCTTCTTCAGTTGGAACTGCTCTTAAATGATCTAAATCAGATTTATTACCAACTAATTCAATAACAATGTTGGCATCAGCGTGTTCTTTTAATTCTTTCAACCATCTTGAAACTGATTCATAAGATTCAGTTTTAGAAATATCATAAACAATTAAAGCACCAACGGCACCTCTATAATAAGCACTGGTAATAGCACGATATCTTTCTTGACCAGCAGTATCCCAAATTTGAGCTTTAACTCGTTTACCATCAATTTCTAAAGTTCTAGTAGCAAACTCAACACCAATTGTAGAACGAGATTCTAAATTGAATTCATCTCTAGTAAATCTGGACAACAAATTGGATTTACCCACTCCCGAATCACCAATTAAAACAATCTTATATAAGTATTCGTAGTCGTAAGAATAATCATCAGTGTTATCAGCCATTATGAAATATTATTAGAATTGAAAAAAGGGAAACAAATAACAAACAGAACAAAAAAGAAAAGAAATAGAAAAACAGACAAGGAATGGAATTAAACTTTAATTATGCAATATCAATAAATATATGACGGTAATGAATTGGATCCTTTCAATCTCTTAAAATTATTATAATTTTTCACCAGGCGGTAAGAAAAAAAATAATTGAAGCTGGAAAATGAATTGAAAAAGAACTTAAAAGAATTGAACTTGAAAAATTAACTCCAACCTATTATCTAATGATCTAATTATGTATTAAACCTATCGAATGGCAAGATGATGGATGAGCGTGTTTCTGATTCAGTTAAAACAAATAAACAAAACCAAAAAACCAAAGAAAAAAAACAAATCTCACACGCTTCTCTTGTGCTTTCAGAATTATGGACTATGGAACAGGTATCAACTTCACTTAGTAACTTGGATAGACGAAGTCTTCAAAATTAGTATAAGAAGGAAAAGAGGATACTAATCTTCTGAGCGAGCGTGTGCATTTGTTGGTGGTTGATTCTCATATTCTGCTGTCTTTTTTATTCGTTTGGTGCCTGAACGACTTTCCACGCCCGTACATACAGGTATACACCAGATATAAAGTAAAGCTTTGATTATAATACTATTAACAACTACAAAATACAACAGATTACTCTCTGCCGGCTCTCTTGTCTTCACGAGCAGCCTTTCTTTCCATTTCGTCCCAGTCTTCACCTTCATCACTTTCGTCAGCACTGGCATCACTTTCATCTGAACCACCACCGGAGGAATAGTCATCTTCCGAATCTTGTTCACTTTCAACTTCTTCGTCACTAGGATCTTCGTCACTTACTTCGAACTCACTTTCTTCTTCTTCTTCATCACTGGCATCAGAATCACCTTCACCAGTTAAGAAACTCCAACCACCATCGGCAAAGAATTGGTAAGGGTCTGATTGAACGGTTTTCATAATTGTACCCCAGTTCAAGTTCATTTGACCTTCACTTAAAGGAATATCCACGTCGGTTAACCAAGACTTAACATCTTCCAATAACTCCATTGGAATAGTATTGATATGGACCACTGGTCTATTAAAATCTTTGAATACAAATACTAAATCAAAATTTTTCAATCCAAATTGAACTCTTTCTAAATGAGCAATTTCAATTTCTTCCAAAGTAACAACCAAATATGGTGGATCAATTAATTGGATTAAACAATCACGGGTAGGCATACACAAGACTGAAGACCTAAATGGTACACCTTGGAATCCTAATTCTCTGAAAGGAATATCTAAATCAACTAATCCATTAGAAGCATCACTAATTGTTTCAGCAAAGGCTTTGAATTCTTTATCTAAAAGAGCTTTACGTCTTCTTTCTTCTTGTTCTTGTTGCAATTCATCTTCATCACCATATCTGTATCTTCTTTTACGACCTCCGGTTTCATCGAAAGCCATATCACTTGCTTCACGATAAAATTGAACATCAAAAGTCTTCTTTTTACCAATCATTATTGGACTCTTTAAATGACAATGGATAATAACAATTAATTCATCTTTACATGGTTGGAAGAATAAATGTTTAATATTGGAGAATATAATATCAACTTTTTGATCGGATCTAAATGAAGATTGATATCTTAACCCATTTTCATGAATTTGCAATACCCCTCCAACTTTTTTAGTATCTGGTTGAGGTCTTATAAATACTTGATCGAGTTTTTTAACTTTTGATCCTTTTAATTCAACTAAGTTGGCTTGACTAACAACATCAGCCATTTGTTTCTTTTCACTTTCTCTCTTAACCGAATCCTTCTTTAAATCTTGAATTGCTTTGTAAACATCAATCATTCTTTGACGATCACGAGATCTCAACGTAATTGATCTTACAAATTGATTATCTGGAGAATCTTCATATGGTAATTCAGTACGTTTTGAAGTGTTACCACCAGCACCTGGTGAATTAAAATTTAATCTCAAGTATGTATAATCCCCTTCTTCATTTTGAGATCCATTCTTAAAAGAATTAATATGAAATGGAACTGGTTTACCACAAATTGGTAAGATAATAGTTTGATTTTTAGGATCAACATGAATTTTTAAATCACGAACATAATTTGGAATTTGAGATTCTCTTGAGTATGATTCATATTTTTTGAAAATTGGTTTATAATCTGATGCATCGGTGGCATCAGCTTTTGAAAATCTTGCTAAACCTTCAGCTTGTCTTTTTTCATGTAATTTAGATTGCATTTCTTGACGAATTTTTTCGGCATTATTATTATCATCTGCTGCACTAGATTCATGTCTTAATTTAGATTTTAATATTTTTGAATTTGCTTCATTTGCTGCTAAGTCTTTACCAATTTTAATATCTTTTTCTGATTTTAATTTTTTATCATTATCATCTTTCCCATTTTCTTTTTTAACATCTTGAGAATCGTCTTTGAAATAAAATGATATTTCCGATCTGCTCTTAGTATATGTGGTTAATAAAATGGCTTCTGATTCACTAACTTTATAAGTATCGGTAAGTAATAAGGAATAATTTTTTAATTTTGGATCTTTGGCCTTTTCATTAGCTAAATTGTTGAAACCAATAGTCAAAGAAATAATTTGACCATTGATTAGTTTTCTGTCGTTCTTACCATTCAAAACTAAAGAGGAATCTCTAAATTCAATACCGGTAAGCCAACCTACATTTTTGGTGAAATGATCAAGCAAATCCGGTCTTTCTTTTTTGACGAAATCAATGGCACCTTGATAAACCTCACTGGCAACTTTACCGTCTTTCAAGAGATTTTTGGTTATATGATCTTGTAATTTTAAAAGAAATTCATAATTATCTTCAATTTTAGGAGTTGGATCAATTAAAAAAGTTCTACCAACGTTTGAACAATACAACTTATAACGTAAACCGATTGAAGCTAATATGACACCATCACCAACCAATTGTTTATCATTTGACAAGGCACTTGGTTTCAAATCATACTCACCGCCACTTTGAATGATAGGAGAATAGCACCAATCAACTAAATCCGGATCGAAATCTTTATCACTTTGTAATAATTTTTTACCCAAATTATTTTTGGTAAACCATTTATTATTATCAATCTTACCTTCAATTTTATCGGAAAGATCAGAATTTTTAGTTTTCAATTCTTCATCAACAACAACCATCATTTCATTAGCAAAAGTATCCATCATAACTACCGATGACTTTGCTGCTGTCTTGGTATTATTGAACTCGTCCGAATCCTTCAATTCCAATGACTTGGAAACGAGAAGTGAGGCATCAAGGTATTGTAAATTATCCTCTTTTGAAACCTCATTCCATTCGTCGATGAATTTTCCTTTATATTGATCTTTTATTATGGTACCGATTTTTTGCTCTTCACTGCCAACTTCTTTTAATTTCCCAATCAAATCTTTAAACAATTGTTTGTTCTTTTCGGCGTCTTTTGTTCTAGTCCAAATTTCAACATCGCTCGAGTTATTGGTTGGTTTATTTGGTAATTGCTTCAAATATTTGGCCTTACCCTCAGAAGTAATTATAAAACATTTATCCTGAGTAATAAGCATGGAGGTATGGGCAAACTCATACCCCAATAACCAAATTTGTAAAACAGTAGATTTCTTATAAGTACTTTCATCATCTCTGGCTCCAACTAAAAAGAGAAGACTTGAATACTTGCTACTGTCGGCAGTCAAGTTCTTCTGCAAAATGGACAATCTCTTATGGAAGATATTGGTATCAATCTTAACGTCAGACATCTTTTCAAACGACTCTATTTATCCTGAGTGGCAATATAATTCTATTCCAATGGGGGAGGTACGTCTTGTCTGTTCGTCCACTAATCAATTGATTCTCGCTTGTTTCGATTCGTTCAAAAAAGCCGAGCACACTACTCTGACAACAAATCCTCTTATATCTCTTTAACCCTCAACCAATAGGTATTCTTGAAGTTAATACAACACCTGCTTCTATTTCAGTTTCTCCCTTTTTTTGCGTTGTTCAGTTTTTCATCATTTTTTTCAAAGACCTTTTGGTGTGTGGGTCTTTTGGCTTACGCGACCTTTTTTTTTTTCATACGGTGACGCGTACGCGAGTATAATCCTTATATTTTGAATTTTAAAAACATCAAAAGACGATACTAGAGGGAAGTGTTTTCCTGGTAGAGTTCATTCGTGGGAGAGCAACAGGCAATATGTTCAGACAAGCTAAAAGAAGGACTGCTGGTAGAAGAAACTTCGAGACATCCAAGGCTGCTTCGATCTACCAATCGACTCCAGCATCGACAAAGTTATATTCGTCACGATTATCGTTTTATGATTTACCACCATTGGAAGAAATAACGTTGGAGCAGTTTGAGACGTGGGCAATCGACCGGTTAAAGATCTTGATTGAAATCGAGTCCTGTGTTGCTAGAGGGAAGTCACTCAAGGATACCGAAGTTGTTGTTAAACCGTTGTTGTTGAAGTACTTACCATTAACTGCTAATAATGGGTCTAATGTAGATACTTCATTGGAGAGAAAGAAAGACCATTATTCACATTATATCTTGAGATTGGTGTTTTGCCGTACTGACGAGCTCAGAAAGAAATTCATTAAAAATGAAACGATTTTATTCAAGATTAGATATGGGTTACTTTCGCCAAAAGAACAACAGGAATTTATAGAAAGTTATAGTGATAAGCTACCATGGCAGTATATTGGAAATGAAGAAAAGTTACAATTGTTTGAACAGTTATACACCGCAACCGGGCCAACGATTAGAAATACGTTGATTGTGGAAAATTCAGCCGACCCAAATTTTTCAATTTCAAATGAACAATTAAAACAACATATTAAGACGAGAGAGAACTTTATTAAATTACCATTTGAAAAAGTACCTAGTTTGGTCAGCCAAAGACAGGTTTATTTGAAAGCAGGTTTTGCATATATTCCATCAACATTACAATTGAGTTTATTATCAATTGAATTTCAAGATTTATTATCGAGGAATTTGTTAAGAACTTTTCAAACTTTACCTCGCTTGGAAGAAGATGATAGAATCTTACCATTACTCACTAACTTATCCACCAATTTCTCAAATATTCAATACGATAGTGCTTCATTTGGTACTGATCCATCTCTCATATCTGATATTAATTCGCAATCGATAATAACACCAACTATCAATAAGCATTATCCATTGTGTGGATCCCATTTACAGAAAAATTTAATATTAAACTCCCATTTGAAATATCAAGGACGTCAACAATTGGGGTTATTCTTAAAAGGTATTGGTTTAAATATCGATGAAGCATTGAAGTTTTGGTCATTTCAATTTACTAAAGGCTCTAATACAATGACAATGGAAAAATTCAATAAAGAATATAAGTATAACATTCGTCACCAGTATGGTTTAGAAGGGGCAAGAACTAATTATAAACCTTGGGATTGTGCAACCATTTTACTGAAACCAAAACCTTCTAAAGGTGAATATCATGGATGTCCATATCGTGATCTTTCGTTAGACAACTTGGTTCATAATTTGAATGAAATGGGGATCAATAATAATCAAGATATTAACGGAATCATTGAAGACGTTGGTAAAAACGATTATACAATTGCCTGTACTAAAGTTTTTGAATTAACACATAAACAACAATTGGAAAAATCATCTAATCAAGCCGAAAATTTACACATTAATCATCCTAATTTATATTTTGATAGATCAAGGCAATTAGAAAAAGCTGAATTGAAATCTAAAGGTTCACAACCAGTCAATTAATTGAAATTTTATTTATATATTTTGTTTGTACATTAGTCTTTTTTTTTTTATCTTATTACCTAAGTATATATATATTTATATAGTTGGTGATTGAATCATCCAGGTAATGCATCATTGTTAACTCAAATCAATTGATTTCCATAAGTCTCTAAAACCAAACCATGACGCTCCGCATCCAAGAGCACCAATCCAAAATGGACTAACACACCCTTCGTATAATGACCAATGAACTGCCATTGGAAGTTGAACAGCTTGTTTGAAAACGCTAATTCTCCACTTGGAATCCCATTTGGAGATTGGAACTCTTCTAAACAATTCAACAATTTCTAAAAAAATGTATAATCCCCAAACTCTTGAACACCATATATAAGTCTCAATGCACCAATAGTTGTTATCGGAGGTTCCAACCCAATTATGGTCTGTTAACCAACCAGCGTTTTCTAGCAATTCCAAAACTAAACAGTTGAGTGATTGTAGAAGGTTAATGAAGCGGTCCGCCTTGGGTGATGCATGGGCTGGATCAATAAAACTGGTGAACTCGTCAATAATCCAAGGCATATACTTGATAGAATCAAAAAGACGATTGAATATCCTAACGTCCGAGATATAAGAATAAATTGACTTCAAATGAACAGCAAGCTTCGAAACCGGTTCATCACCTTCGGCTTCTTTATAAACGGGTTTTGGAGTATTGAAAAAACCGGCCACCGATTTATTGGACGAGTTCTTCAAGTCAACATTCAAGTACGAAGATGATACTTTTTGTAAAACCTGAATCAAGTTATATCTTTGGGTCAATAAAAAATGCCTGATTTTTGGCTTGTTATTCAAGATACTCGATACTAGTAAAGCCAAATAGCATAGGAAGTACAAATTAGCATCAATAGTGCTTGCACTGGATAAAACTTTATCACTAATTTCCTGGTAAAATTTCCGACTTAACACGGTTTTTTTCAATGCTTTATTCAAATTCAAAAGAGCCGATAATGGAATCAGCTGTAACGGATTCTTTTGTTTCATTTGAAGATTTAGTGGTGCTATAGATGCAATATTGGTACTCATGGTTATCTTCAGTTAATAAAATAATTTAATCTCAAGATAAGAACTGGTTTGTGTTACCTTTTTTTTTCAACTCTATAATCTTACCTCAAAGTCTATCAGGATCTATACTGGCAATAAATTTGACGTATTAATAACCAAAGATATCAATAACAATGACTTCTCTTTGAAATAAAGCTATTTCATATATATTTTTTTTTCAATTTACAGTGATTTCTGAACAAAGTCTTTTTTTTTAGCCAACCGCGGTTCTTATATACTTATTCCCAAGATATGAAAATAGTCAATTATGTAATCAGCAAATCAGATAATTGGAGTTAAGATGGTATGTCTTTATATTTATCTATTTATCCAGAGATTGTAGACTCTGATGGGCGTAGGAGTAAGGGTGATTCTGGGGTTAACAGCTCTGGAGAAACGAGTCAATTTTTCGGAGATCTGGATGACTATTGCCGGCACTCCGAGACTTGACAGTTTACTATCACCGGAAGAATTGTAGCCAATCGTCATACAATATGGATACATCGATATAAATTAAAGTATATACATAGTGGATACATCAGAATGAGCTAGCTGTAGAAGTGAACGAGAATTGGGACAATGGAAAAAATCGAAGAAATGAATAGATTTGTAGAATATATGAATGATTGATAACGAATATATGAACGATTGATAATGAATCTTAATATTGATTAGAAGACTAACGATCACGGGATGAGGATGAAAGATCTTGAACATTGGATCTAGCCAGGAATTTTTGATCTTCTTTAGTAGCGTATAACTCCATTGCTCTTTGGTCTGCAGAACCCACAGTTTCTAAAACAACTTCGTTAATTTCTTCAGTTTCGTCTTCTACTTGAGGTAAGATAAGATTTAAAATGACTCCAATGAAACCCGTTACTGCAAACCCACTTTCCATAACCAAAACAATTGCATCAAAGAAACCTTTTAAAGAGGTATTGCTACCTTTATAGGTAAAGACCCCATCAAACCAGTTACTGACTAAAATGGCCCCTAAACCAGGTAATAACGAAGCCGATAAAACAAAACGGTCTCTTCTGGTGAATTCAGTACTAGCAATAATCTTCATACCCGAGACTGCAACTGAACAAAATAAAAATGAAGTCATACCACCCAAGACTGATTTTGGAATTGAAACAATTGCAGCAGCAAAACGAGCGAAAAGACCCATAATAATCATGAAAAATGCAGCGTAATAACCAACTTTTCTATTAGCACATTTAGTGATTGAAATAACCCCATTATTTTGAGCAAAAGTTGAAACTGGACCAATAGTCATTAAAGTTGAAAGACAACCATTAAGACCATCAGCCAAGACCCCACCTTGAATTCTAGATTCATACAAAGGACCTTCAACTTCTAATCTTGAAACATCGGAAGTAGCAGTAATATCACCAATTGCTTCCATCATCATCACTAAATAAACTGCTAAATAAGGTAAAACGGCTGGGGCATAAATTCTTAATCTAAAAGTTTTAACCCAAAGGAAAGTAGCTACTGGAGCAGCTTTAATATTATCAGGAGAGAAGTAACCACAAGCAGCAGCCACGATACAACCAACCAATAAACCAACAATAACTGCACAAGATTTCATAATTGGAGAACCAAATCTTTCTGATAAAATAATAGTTACATAAACCAAAAAACCTAAACCAACAAATTCTGCAGACCCCCATGGTAAAGGTTTAGCAGTACCACAAGTTTCGCCAACACAACCTGAGCCACCAACCCAATCTTCAAACCCAGATTGAATTAATGAAATCCCAATTAACATAACAACCGGACCAGTAACAATTGGAGGGAAAATCTTCTGTAAAGTTTTAGGAGGAATAAAAGATAATAAGATTTCAATCAATGAACAAACACACCCAGTAGCAATCAAATGACCATAAGCATCGGGACAAGCTTGTTTAACACCATCAACAGTTTTACAAATTCCGCTTGAATACATCATGGGAATAGCATTGTTGACAATTGCAATTTGACTGAAAGAAACCCCAACCATTGAAAGTAAACCAGTACCAAGATAATAAGGAGTTTTATAAATATGAAAACGAGTGATTTGAATACATGATAAAATACCAGAACTAATCAAAGCAGCAGAAACTAAATATTCTTGGGTTGCAGTATCTAAATTAGCAACTCCAGAAATAATAATTGGTGGAGTAGTAACACCGGCAAGTAACGCCAAAGCATGTTGTAAACCTAATACAAGTGATAAAAGGAAAGGAATCTCTGAAGTCAAGCCAAAAAATGGTTGGGTCTTGGAAATTTTCTTACTAAATGGATTCTCTGGAAGGAAAAGGTAGCCATAGTCATAATCACCAATTAGACCATCTTTAGTAGTAAGTTTGCGTATGGCTCTTCTACCAACCGTCTTCAATTCAGAAAGGTTAATCATTTTATTAAAGTGAATTACTATAACCACAAAATCAATTAATTTACAAAAAGAAAAAGAAGATTTATCCATATATATATTAAAATACAATTAAAGATGGAGTTGATTGATAACTGCTCGGAATTGCGCGTAATTAAATTGTCGATAAGCGAGGGCTCATCGACCGCAAACCCGAGGGCACTCGAGCCTGCTCTTAAGCACTGCACTTGCACTACATCTGCCGGTAAGCCCTGCTTCACTTCCGGGGACCGGGGACCGCCATCACCGGCCAATGGAGACCACCGAAACAAGTGATTAGATAACAGAATATTCTATCATGGAGATATCCAGAAAATAATCCAAGCAATAAGGGAAAAAGGCAAAATGCATCTTGAATCAGGGTGAATTTATTATTTTTCACGTTTAATCTATCGTTTAAATGGTACTTTCCGAAATTGATAAAAGGTTGAAATTTGATTGAGTCTTGATAAGTACTTTTTTCTCCCTCTGCGGGCCAGTTATTTTATTTTTCACTGCTGATTATCAGCCCTAGATAACGAACTTTTGCAACTTCCCTTCCTGCTATCACCATCCCTATATACAAAGCACTGTGCATCGCTTATAGAGCTACCCCAGTACAATTTATCTGGTGTTCTTTTCGACTTGCCCTTACTTTTCGGCTTTATCAATAGTTCCCTGCTTGGGGAAGTGTTTTTCGGTGATCTCCATGGTTTTGTGTGGTGCGTGCACGACGAGTTGAAAAATGCCTTACTTAAGTACTAAAAGACGGAATCGCAGTTGCTAGTGCTGTGAATAGTCTTATTACAAGTACGAGGTTATGTATTAGAGATAGCATTAGAGAGTAGTAAAGCATTAGGGAGTAGTAAAGTATTAGAGAGTAGTAAAGTATTAGAGAGTAGTCAAGTATTAGAGAGTAGTAGAGTAATATAAGAAATTAACTGGCAATACTTTGTAGTAAGCCGATGCGTCATCAACAAGCATCAACTTAAAATTAAGCTTTCCAGAGATTTATTCGTTGAGCTATGCCAGAGAATAGTCAAATCAGGAACCATTGCATCTTAAATTGGATACAGCTGGTTCTAATTGTTACCAATGATTGTGTAATAACGATTGTCTCCAGGATGGAACCAGCATAGTCTATTGTCTAAAAGGGTCCTTTATAAATAAATAGTCAATCTTCGCACAATTTCCTTTTTAGTCAAGAGAAGTTGCAACACTAGTCGACTGGTTTATGGTGAAATTTTATTGAGCTGAAACAATCAAACAAGTTTCTACTTGCAGTTAGAAACTAACCGCTTGGCTTCGAAGTGAGGTGTGTTGCTAAAGAGGGCTTGCAAGTACACATGGGAATTGTAGATATAAATCTGATCAATTCTGCTGTAATTGATTAGATCTTTGTAAGATTAGTCACCAATTCCCAAAATGATATTGAAAAATAATTTAATAATATTAGTGTTATTACAAACCTGTTTGGTTTCTGCTTCGCTATTGGGGAATTTTAAATTGAAAACTCAATCTAAAAGAGTCATTGCTAGTGCTTTGAGTAAAACAAATTCTGCCAGTAGTAAATTATTTCGTCCATCTTCATTGTTTAGTCGTGATACGGTACCGGTTGAATTAAAAGACAATACTAATGCTTTCATGATAACCGTTGATGTCGGTTCTCAAAATGCTTCTTTTGATTGCATTATCGATTCTGGTTCTGCCGATTTATGGATTCCTTCCGATCTTTTCTGTGAAAAAGAATCGGGTTGTACTAATGATGGTTATAATCCAAATGCTTCCACTACTGCCAATGCCACTGGCTATAATTATTCAATTGATTACGTTGGCTCAAAGGGATACACTGGACAAATCTATAATGATACCGTTAATGTTGCTGGATTTGAATTGAAGAATGCTCAATTTGCTTCAGTCAATGATGGGGAAACTCCTCAACCAATTGCTGGTATCGGTTATCCTGGTTTGAACAATAAACCTCCATATTATAAGAATTTACCTCAACAAATGAAAGAACAAGATTTCATCGATAATTTTGGTTATGGGATTTATTTAGATTCTTTAAACAGTTCTGATGGGTTAATTGTCTTTGGTGGTGTTTTCACTGAAGGTTATACTGGTAAATATAAACAATTACCAATTTTAGATACTTCATCAGTTTCTTCAGTCTTATCAAGCTTATATATTGATTTTGGTGGTGCTAATGATACTGAAGATGCTTGGGTATTACAAACCCCAATTAGAGCTTTATTTGATACTGGTAGTACTGCTTTAATTTTACCAACTGATATGCATAAGAAAGTCCTTGAAATTTTGGATATTCAACCAAGTGATGATGGAGATGTTTTTGATTGTTCGAAATATGATCAAAATGAAGCTGCTTTTAAATTTAATTTCTTGGGTGTAGATATTGACGTTCCCTTTAACGTTATTTCTTATCCAACAAATGATACTCATTGTCATGCTGCTGTTAGTGCAATTGATGGTGATTATGTTATTTTAGGGGAATTTTTCTTAAGAGCAACAACTTTATATTTTGATTTAGAAAATCAATTAATCTCAATTGCCCAAGCTAAATTAAATCAAGATCATGATGCTTTGATTGATTCTGTGGCAGAAGTTCCATCTGGTGGAGTTTATTTTGAAAAAGCTCCTCATTTTGAAAAGACTCAAGTCAGTTCTGCTCCTAAAGGAACTTCTATCACTCCATATTCTACTGCCACTGGAGGTGGTGGTTTCCCATTTTCTTTTAATTTTGCTAAAGAAGCAAATACTTCTTCTTCCTCCGTGGAGGCTAAAGAAACTGGTAATCCAGTTGGTGGAATTGATATAAGTAAGATTGGTGGGTTTATACCTGATTTGGGTGTTGGCCTTCATAAAAGAAATGATTCTGGTGCTGATACTACATTCTCATCTGTTATGTCAACTAGTTCCGATGCAGTATCCCATGATATCTCCTCCTATGAAGCAGGTGCTTCTTCTTCGAAAGGTAGCGGCATAATTTCCATAATTATGGTTTTATTATCTGCGGTTTGTTTATTATAAGTTTAATTCTTTTGTATAGTAGTTTAAAAAAAAAAAATTAATAAAAGTTATTCTTTATTTGGAAAGTTGCAAAAAAAAAAAAAAAAGTTCACGTAATTATACAATAAATACATTTAACAAAGAGATTAGAGAAGTGAAAACATAATACACATAAAATTAAGCTAGATCAATTATTGTTTTTCATCTTTACCTTCAGCAAGTCTTTTCCAGTGTTCAATCTCTCTATAAGCTCTTTCTAATTCTTGTTTTAATTTTTCATTAGAAGCACTTAACTCACTAACTGCTTGTTCAGTGATTAATTTTTCCAAAGTCCATTTTTCAATATTGTTAGTTTCATTTTCTTTTAATCTTTTAATAAAGTTAACAGCTCTTTGTAAGATTTGGGCTTTATTGGTATCAGAAGTCGGAATTAAAGTAGCTAATTCTTGAATACCTTGATTAATAGATTCTCTTCTTCTTTTTTCAACTTCCTTATGATTATCACGTCTAATACGTTGCCATTCAGCAGATCCATGAGGAGGTTTACTATTCATACCTAAAGATTGACTTTCAGAACTAGCTGAGTTGGGACTTGCTTGACCATCACTTGGATTGGCTGGTTGGTTATTAGAATGTTCTTGTGTTTCTTGTTGGCCTTGTTGAGTAAAAGCATTTTGATACAATTGTTGATGGAGATGTTGTTGATTTGCTTGGTGATGTTCCTGTTGTTGTTCTTCCTGTTGTTGTTGTTGCTGCTGTTGTTGGTGTTGTTGTGGAGCTGCTGTTTGTGGGTGTGATTGTTGTGGTGATTGATGGTTTTGTTCTTGTTGGCCCTCTTGATTATGATCATGTTGGTGTTGATGATTTTCAAGTTGGGGTTGATTTTGAGAACCAAGAGCAGCGGCAGCGGCATTGGTAGCGGCATCAGGATCAGACTCGTGGGAAGAAGCAACGGCAACTGCTTCTTCGGCAGCACTAACAGCAGCAGCAGCGGCTGCTTCATCAGTCATATGTTCATGGTTATCATGGCCATTAGAATGTTTATCTGATTGTTGTTGATTCAACAATTCGGAATCTATCAATTCTTCTTTAACAGCTTTTAATCTTTTATTATTAGCTTCTTGGGATTCATACTCTCTTTTCGACATGCTATCGCTTGTTAGTAACTGAAATGGTTGCAATACGCGTGAATCCCCCAGAGAAAAAAAAAAAATCAAAACAAACAAACTGTTTGTTAAATGGTATTTCAATATAATGAAAAATACCTATTGGCCATTAGACATCAATTGATACCCTCGATAATGCTAAAGGGGAATTATACATACTTGTTAAACGAATATAAATTTTAAGAGTGATTTTTAAAAAGTAATACACAAATTTAAACTGGAAAGAAGAAGTAACAAGCGGGTCACGAGGATCTCACGAGGATTTCAGGTGACTTTTAAATGAAATGAAGCAAAAAACAGCCATGTGATTTGAACGGCGGGTAACCTTTGCTTGCTTTTTTTTTCTTATTTTCAATTGCGGCACGGGTTCTTTGTCTGGCACGTGCTTACTCGTGTCTCTACCAACTAATCGGTTAATGCTAAGTACTACGTTAACTAATACGTTAACTAATACGTTAACTAATCAACTATGTCATAAGTAGTGACTTGGTAACTAGTCTGCTTTTAACTGAGTAGAGTTTAATTATTATTGGTTGTTTTGCAGGGATTGTGCAAAATTGCAGCCATTTTCATTCCAGTTTGCTTTCTCTATTCATCAATAAATGTTTTTGCCTACTACAGTTTTTGAGTCTAGTGACTTGTAATACCTTTCTTCATTGTATAACCCCAACGATATCAAGTCTTATGGTGGCAACCACGGAAATATAATAAGAAGTATTGCTAATGGACGTATACCACCGAGCTATCGAGCCCAATATTAACTCAAGAACTGACCAGATTTCCATAACCGCATAACTCGATTTTGCAGCTAGTCATCATGCGCTTAGATGGCCACTGGCACCCGGCCATCAGAACAGTCCCGGCTTCAATCGCTACTGCAAGCAGGAAAAGTCATTCGGCGGTGTATGTCCAGATCAGCAATTAAGGCTAGCTAAGAAGTAGTCAACCACTAAGAAGTAGCGAAGTGGTTAGGGATGTACGGGAGTCCCCCGGTGAGTCTCGGAATATTGTTTTTCCGCCGGCTCCCACTCGAGCCGGATGTCTTCAACAAAATGCTCGGTGGTCGGTTCGACAGTAACTTTAACTAATACCAGTAGCTGAAACTGATTTGTCGATATTTGAAATTATAAGCTAAAGTCTTTCACGTTCAAAGGCACCTCGGTGATAGTTGAAAGTTATCCTACAGTGTTTATTCTTGGGTTATTTTTGCAACCTGGCGTAACCATCACACCGAGAGACGAGAGCCTGATCTCAGTAGCCTTCTCAGTCAGCAGTGGCATGCCCCTAGTGTAGTTGTATCAACAAAGAATATATAGTTTGTAAACATGGTTATATCATTAAGTTCGAGAGTTTTAGAATTACTACAATCTTGCTGCGAAAATCGAAAAAAACTGTTCAAGAACATTGTAGTTTATTGTACTTCATTGTACTTCATTGTACTTCAAGCACTAGTTCAAGAACATTGAAGCTGCAAATACAATCCAGTAGCAGAATATTCTACAATAGCATCGCTTCCCAAGCCGTAAAGTATGGCCTGCTCCAATACAATCTAATCAAACGGGCTGGATAACTGCAAAACTCGATCCAAACGTATTCCCGGAACTCGCCCCTGCTCACTACCGGGGGGCTGGGCTGAAACAACCCAACATCAGTACAACCCCGGAGCCTCATGATAGTCCGAAGCTCTATCATCCAATGCTCCAGTGGTTAATACTAATGAAGGCAGGCCGTCCGCCTAAGCGCATGACCCGGATGCTCTTAGGAGAGCCCACCACCAAAACATGCAATTAGAGCGCCAGCGTCCGCCAGAAAAAACATCAGATATTATGCGCTTAAACCTTTTCAAACATCAGTTTTTTGGGGGAGACGCTATTTTTTGGCACTAACGGCAAGATTTCATATCTTATTGTCAGTAGATTGTTCCATGTAAGGTATTTTTAGTGTAGGAACAAGTGGAAAAAAAGAAAAAAAGAAATGAAAAAGGTGAAGGCTGCAACTGCTCTTCTGTTCCGACATGTTTTCCTTTCCTAGGATAATCCCCTCAGGATCATGGTATGATGACTTTTCAATAGATTTTCCAGACGGGTTATAATGTTGGGAAAGTATATATATTTGGTCAATTCCTTTCAATTGATGGGAGAATTTAGATTTATTTTATCATTATTAAATAACAATTAATACAAAACAATTTTAATTATTAAAAAAAAAACATGGCTGAAATTACTTTAGGTAGATACATCTTTGAAAGATTGAACCAATTAAAGGTTCAAACCATCTTTGGTGTTCCAGGTGATTTCAATTTATCTCTTTTAGATAAAGTTTATGAAGTTGAAGGCATGCGTTGGGCCGGTAATGCCAACGAATTGAACGCTGCTTACGCTGCTGATGGTTATTCTCGTCTTAAGGGTTTATCATGCTTGGTTACCACTTTTGGTGTTGGTGAATTATCAGCAGTTAATGGTATTGCTGGTTCTTATGCTGAACACGTTGGTGTTTTGAATTTAGTTGGTATTCCTTCAATTAGTTCTCAAGCAAAACAATTATTATTACATCATACTTTGGGTAATGGTGATTTCACTGTTTTCCACAGAATGGCTAATAACATTAGTCAAACTACTGCATTTATTTCTGATATCAACTCTGCTCCTGCTGAAATCGATAGAGCCATTAGAGAAGCTTATATTTACCAAAGACCAGTTTATGTTGGTTTACCAGCCAATTTAGTTGACTTAAATGTTCCAGCTTCTTTATTACAAACTCCTTTAGATATTTCCTTAAAACCAAATGATCCAGATGCTCAACAAGAAGTTATTGAAAACGTTTTAGAATTGGTTTCAAAAGCTAAAAATCCAATTATTTTGGTTGATGCTTGTGCTTCTAGACACGATTGTAAAGTTGAAGTTGAACAATTGGTTGATACTACCAAATTCCCAGTTTTCACTACTCCAATGGGTAAATCGGGTATTAATGAATCTCATGAAAGATTTGGTGGGGTTTATGTTGGTTCTTTATCTGAACCAGAAGTTAAAGAATTTGTTGAATCTGCTGATTTAATCTTATCGGTAGGTGCTTTATTATCAGATTTTAATACTGGTTCTTTCTCTTATTCTTATAAAACTAAAAATATTGTTGAATTCCATTCTGATTATACTAAAATTAGACAAGCTACCTTCCCAGGTGTTCAAATGAAAGAAGCTTTACAAAACTTATTATTAAACATCGGTCAAGTCACTGCTTCTTACGTTCCTGGCCCTGTTCCTGCTCCAAGACGTTTCAACTCTCCAGCTGAAGCTAATACTTTATTATCTCAAGAATATTTATGGAACAGAGTTTCTACTTGGTTTAGAGAAGGTGATATCATTATTACTGAAACCGGTACTTCTGCTTTCGGTATTGTTCAATCCAGATTCCCAAATAATACCGTCGGTATCTCTCAAGTCTTATGGGGTTCTATTGGTTTCACCGTTGGTGCTACCTTAGGTGCTGTTATGGCTGCTCAAGAAATTGATCCAAAGAGAAGAGTTATCTTATTCGTCGGTGATGGTTCTTTACAATTAACCGTTCAAGAAATCTCTACCATGTGTAAATGGGAAACCACTCCTTACTTATTCATTTTAAATAACGATGGTTACACCATTGAAAGATTGATTCACGGTGAAACTGCTACCTATAATGATATCCAACCTTGGAATAATTTGAAATTATTAGAATTATTTAATGCTAAAAATCCAGAAAATTATAGAGTTTCTACCGTTGGTGAATTAGAAACCTTATTCTCTAATAAAAATTTCAATGAAAATACTAATATTAGAGCAATTGAAGTCATGTTACCAAGAATGGATGCTCCAATTAACTTGGTTAAACAAGCTCAATTATCTGAAAAAACCAATGCTGAAAATTAATTCTAACTGACTGCCTTTTTCTTCATTTTCTTTTTATATAAATATTTTCCCATTACGTGTATACGAAATACGATCTAATCTTAATAAAACTTCATTTAGTTTAATTTTACTGTATTGATTCGGACTTGAATTTAATCCCGAACTAGATGGGCAAGAGGTACGGGTGTCTTCCGGAGACCGACTTGGGTCCGAGCAGATAACTACTCTCTACCATATACCCCGAATAACCTTAATACCGCCGAAATTAACTGAAACAGGTCGAAGCTGGCTACTTTCAAGGGAAGCGAAAATTGTGTCTTCGGAAAACCCTCAGATTGCGTAATAGCATGGGGTAAGGTTTTGGTTCGGTTTTGGTTCGGTTTTTATCTGTTTTTCTTCTTTTTTTTTTTTTTTTCGTTCGTTCTTTTGATTCAATGAGAATTTAAAACTACTTCTGGTTAGAAATCCACTTTTGGGAAGGATATCTTGATATGATGTTTAGATCGGGTATACTAAAGGTGAGATGTCCAATCTCGGCCATTAAGTCGCTTAAACCAATACAGCCAACAAGGCCAATTGGGTTTAATGGTAAAAATCCTAGAACCAGACTTTCTTCAATAGCTAACCAATTGAGTGTAAAAAGAACATTCCAAACATCATGCCGTAGATTAAATCTGGAACAGAAATCCAAAAAGGATTCCTCGACATACTTGTTTGGTAGACAAATCTCAACATCACAACTAAATATGTTAAGGTCATTATTAACAACAATTTGGCCTAAGAACAAACCAAGTTTTAAAATTAGAGTTATACTTGCATTATCACTATTGATTGGGTCTAAATTACTAAATGTACAAGTTCCGTTTTTCTTCAAAAGTATAATAGATGAAATGAATGTTGATTGGAGTGGAGATATTGGCACAATTACAACAGTTATAGGAAGTTTAATTTTAGCTTATGGAGGTGCTAGATTTGGGGCAGTTTTATTTGGGGAATTACGAAATGCAGTATTTGCATCAGTGAGTCAATCAGCTATTAAAAGAGTTGCTTATAATACATTTTTACATTTATTGAATATGGATTTGCAATTTCATTTATCAAGACAAACTGGTGGATTAACAAGAGCAATTGATCGAGGTACAAAAGGTATTAGTTATGTATTAAGTGCAATGGTTTTCCATATAATCCCAATAACTTTTGAAATTTCAATAGTCTGTGGTATCTTAACCTATAATTATGGAGCAGCATTTGCAGCAACTACGTTAGCCACAATGTTAGCATATTCAATATTTACAATTAAGACAACTGCTTGGAGAACTGGATTTAGAAGACAAGCAAATAATGCTGATAATCAAGCAGCCAGTGTGGCATTAGATTCATTAATTAATTATGAGTCGGTGAAATATTTCAATAATGAATTATACCAAGCATCAAAATATGAACAAGCATTAAATAAATATCAAAATGCTTCAATTAAAGTTGCCACATCATTAGCATTCTTAAACGCTGGACAAAATTTCATATTTACTAGTGCTTTGACCGCCATGATGTATATGGGTTGTCAAGGAGTTTCAAGTGGAGCTCTTAGTGTTGGGGATTTAGTTTTAATTAATCAATTGGTATTTCAATTATCAGTACCATTGAATTTCTTGGGTTCAGTTTATAGAGAATTGAAGCAAAGCTTATTGGATATGGAAAATTTATTCCAATTACAAAATTATGAAATAAAAATTCAAGATAAATTAAATGCCAAACCCCTTTTATTAGAAGGACCTAAAATTGGAGAAATTAAGTTTGAAAATGTTACTTTTGGATACCATCCAGATCGTCCTATATTAAATAATGCCACATTTACCATACCAGCTGGTAATAAAGTTGCAATTGTTGGACCATCAGGTAGTGGGAAATCAACTATCTTAAGATTAATCTTTAGATTTTATGACGTTAATAGTGGCAGAATTTTAATTGACGGTCAGGATATATCTAAAGTTACTATTGAATCATTAAGAAGAAACATTGGTATAGTACCACAAGAAACTCCTTTATTCAATGATACCATATTAGAAAATATTAGATATGGTAGATTAGATTCAAGTAATGAAGAAATCTTATCAATGATATCAAAAGTTAAACTAGATGGTTTAATCAAAGATTTACCCGATGGTATAGATACCATAGTTGGAGAAAGAGGTATGATGATTTCAGGTGGTGAAAAACAGAGATTAGCAATTGCGAGATTATTATTGAAAAGGGCCCCAATTACTTTCTTTGATGAGGCAACTAGTGCCTTGGATACCCATACCGAGCAATCTTTATTAAGAACTATAAGAAGTATATTTAGACAAGATCAAAGGACTAATGTTTCCATTGCCCATAGATTAAGAACTATTGCAGATAGTGATAAGATCATTGTTTTAAATAAAGGTCAAGTCCAAGAGGAAGGAGATCATTACAGTTTATTACAAGATCCAGAATCATTGTACTCCCAACTATGGAACATTCAAGAGAATTTGGATATAGAAGAAGAACTCCGGGAAGAGAAAGAAAATGAAGAAACTAAACAGGCTTAATAGTTTGTATAGTAATGAAAATTTCAGCACTGAGAATAAAACCGAAAAAAAAAAAAAAAAAAAAAAAAAAAAAAAAAAAAATGTAAAACCAACTAAACTCCATCAGTTAAGCTACATCAACCACATACCATGTGCAAGCCTGCTACATGCCCGAACTGTAATCGAAT